AGGAGACAGACCCAGAAGGTTTCAGAGGGGGTTTTTAAACTGTGACATGGAGCCTGTTGGGCTGCTTAACAGTTGATTTGCAAAGCTGAGGCTGCAGCTCAAATCCCAGACTGGTTTGGGTTGGAAGGGACATAAAGATCCTCCAGTCCTGGACAGGGACACCTTCCACTAGCCCAGGTTGCTTTGGAGCAACCCGGCCTTGGACACTTCCAGGGATCCAGGGGCAGCCACAGCTTCTCTGGGCAACCTGGGCCCGGGCCTCCCCACCCTCCCAGGGAAGGATTCCTTCCCAAAATCCCATCTAACCCTACCCTCTGGCAGTTTGAAGCCATTCCCCCTTGTCCTGTCACTATTTATTAGGATATTTAATAATCAAAACCGGCCCATAACAGTCTGTTCCTCTCCCTGATTTTGTGGGGACTGTTTTTGCCTCATTCGAGCGCTGTGACGGAAACGGGAATTCAGTCGGAGTCAGCAGGAGGGAGGACTGGCTGCATTCCTGCTGGCACAGATGTCCTGGGACACAGTCAATTCCTGCTCTGGAAGGGAAAGTCCCAGAACTTGCAGCTCTGTGTAGAACACTTCCAGAGCAGAGAGGCTGCTCGGGCTGGACATGAAAGCTTTAACAGTGACCTCTGTGCTCTGCTCTGGTGGTGGAATCTTGGTTTTCAGTTCACTTTCTGTTCTTAGGCTGAGAGAATATTTTCAGAAGTCAGGAGGATTGAAAACTACAGAGTAGAAGGCATGGAGATCTATTCAACCACGCTCTGGCATCTGCAGAAAGATGTTGCCCTTTCAGTTCTTTCCAAGGATTTGACGGACATGGATAAAAACTCACCGGAGGTATAAAATGCTCTGGGTTTGAGGGAGAAAAGGGGAACTGACCGTGGCAAAATCAATGAGCTCTGAGCTCTAATCATGTTTTTTCCTCTGGGGATACACCTGAACGTGGCAAAACTGGAGAGGGAGGTGGCAGGATTGTCTTTTAAAGTCCTGATGCCCCAAATGGCTTCTTAAAATTCTGATACCTGCTCACAGGGAACAAGTTAAAACCTTTTCTCTGTTAATGGTTATTTAAATTTGCATTGGCACCATTCATCCAGGAAGATCATGGGTTAATCAGTCACTCCTGCTGCTGCCAGGGTGCAGAGATAAGGAATATCTTTTTCCTGTACCACCTCTTAATTGCTGTAGTTAATTCACTGGCATTTAAAATATTTGTCCTAGAGTTTATTTGCAGACATGATGTTGCACATTTTTATGCCAAAGTCCATTAAACTGCAGAGTGTCTGTCAGTGTAAAGTCATGAGATACAAAAAGCCAGGAATCAACACCTGGGACCCAAAAACTGGGGGCAAAACTGGTGCCACAGTAAAAATCAGAGATATATATATTTGTAAAGGTGCTCTTAAGAGTTGAGAAAAGAGTAGAGGATATTGGGATTTTTTTGTTGTTGTTATTGGAGGAGAGAATTCCTGTTCATATTGTCATTAGCTTGTCTAAGAGTGGAAAAACCAAGCCCAGTGAAGCAGCTGGGGGTTGTAGTGAGATAGGCTGGAGAGAGGGAAATGCAGATTCTAATCCAAGGAGTGGAGAACAGTTATGTGGTTTGGCACTGAGGCTGAAAATTTGGGGAAGGGAGTGACCCCAAGCTCTGATGCTTCCCAGTCTCGATGCTGGTTCCTGTGCAGGAGGGAAAGGGGAGGCTGCTGCTAAAATTTTTTCCCCTGCAGATTTCCAGATTTGTCACTTAAGAGTGAAAGTACCATCTGCCCCTTCATTATTCTTAAATATCAAAGATGTTTTATTTTTGGCCTTTTCAGCTTCGAAAGCTTTAGTCATTAGTCATCAAAGGATCTAATTGGCACAGACTTGTCGAGTGTCCTCAGATTCTCCATTTCTGTGTTTCAGCTTGGCTGTTTATTTATTTTATGAGGTGTGTTTAGGCCTGTTTTTTGCCTCACAGGAATGAGACTGAACCGTTGATTTATTACTGCTATTTTTTTTAATCTAGGAGGAATTTATTTCTAATTATGTAAAGCAGTGTGGAAAAATGTGTTCAGCTCAGATTTAGTCACTGTGAGTTGCAGGAAGGATTCCAATCCTGTCCCCTTTTTCCCAGGCCTGGTGTGCTGCAGGAAACTGTTTCAGCCTCCAAAGGGAGCACGACATTGCAATCAAGTTCTTCCAGAGAGCCATCCAGGTGGATCCAAACTATGCCTATGCCTACACCCTGCTGGGACACGAGTTTGTGCTGACAGAGGAACTGGACAAAGCCCTGGCTTGTTTCAGAAATGCAATCAGAGTCAACCTCAGGCACTACAACGCGTGGTAGGTTTGGGTTTGTCCCCTGCTGTTCCATGGGATACAAGACCCCTTCAGGAGGAATGTCTTCTGGATGCTGCCACTGCTGGGATTTCATAGAATGCCAGGATGGTTTGGGTTGGAAGGGACCTTAAAGCTCATCCCCATGAGCAGGGACACCTCCCACTAGACCAGGTTGCTCCAACCTGTCCTTGGACACTTCCAGGGATGGGGAGTCCACAACCAACTTCCCACTCCTCTCTCTCAGAAGAGAGCAAAGCTGTTCCTGCAGAAGATGTGGGATTTATGTCTTTATTAAAGTTACTTCCACAAGGAAGGCAAAAAAATTGGGAGTGTTTTGATTTTTCCCAGGTCTTTTAGGCTGCATTACCCAGCTCTTCTGTTCTCCTGTGCAGCATTCCTCATGCATCCAGTTATTTTTTCCTCACTTGCAGTTCAGTGAGGAACCCAGCCCCTTCATACCTTAGGATACAGTTAATTTCTTAAAGCTTTTTAATATATAAAGCAGTGAAAGTTAGATTTGTAAGTCACTTAGTCTTTAACTGCTGTATTCCTTTTAATTTGTGGCTGTTTAGCCAGTCTTCCTGGAGTTCTTTAACAGCCCAATTGATAAAGAAAACCAAGTAAATTTTAGATACAGCTTTTTCCTCAAGAAATCCCTTCCCACCCTGTGTTGGCAGGTCTAGAAACCTTTCCTGCCACGTCACATTCACTGCCAAGAACTAATTGGATTAAAAGACAAGTGTTACTTAACAGAATTGTTTCTGTGCTCGCAGGTACGGGCTGGGAATGATTTATTACAAACAGGAGAAATTCAGTTTAGCAGAAATGCATTTCCAGAAAGCACTTGATATCAACCCTCAGAGCTCAGTCCTGCTGTGTCACATCGGAGTAGTAAGTAACTGTTCTTTATCCTTGGCTTCTCATCCCGTACTTTGCAGGAGAAAAATCACTTTTATGCCTTTTGGGAGTGCAGTGATTTCTGTCCTGGCTCTGTGTCCCCTTTGCCTCTTTGTTCCAGGCAGGTGTAGATGTGACAACCCACTTCTTGAGCCACTTTATGCCAAGTGGGATTTAATTAACAGGCCATATTCAGGAGGCCTCAGGCACCATCCCTCAGTTCAGTTTACGGGGCTGTTGGAAAAGTCAGTCGTGTGTCCCTCTGCTCCTGCAGTCCTGAAAAACCAGTGGCCTCTCTGGCAAATCCTGCTCAGAGTTGGGAAATAATTCTTGGATGTTAAGTCTGTGTGGGAGTGAGGGGTGGTGACCTGCTGGCTCTCATTTGCCTGCTCTGTGGCACCAAAACTGTGTCAGATCCGACAGGGACTGTGGCTGCTTCTCCCTTAAATACAGAGAAAGGCTTTGGGTTTGCTCCTGGTCAGAGGTTAAATGATTTCTGCAAGGCCTTGGGTGGGGAGAAGGTTTTGGGGTGGAGACAAAGTGGATTTTAATTCCTGTGAGGAAACCTGTTAAACCTTGGTCTAGAATTGGGCCAATGTTTTTTTAAAGGATCAGAACATAAGCAAACAGAGTCAGAAGGGCTTGTCCCTGCCTGGCAGCTGAGCTGTTATTTCAAAGTTGTTCTCCCTTTCTGTGACAGGTCCAACATGCACTGAAAAAATCTGAGAAGGCTTTGGACACGTTGAACAAAGCCATAAGCATCGACCCCAAGAACCCCCTATGCAAATTCCACAGAGCCTCGGTGTTGTTTGCAAATGAGAAGTACAAGGTGAGGTTTGGGGCTCCTGGCAACCTCCTGGCCTTGGAATTCCTGGGGCTGGGAATGGAGATGCCCTTCACCAAGGGAACTGTATTCAGTTTTTTCATTGTAATAAAATCTGGGGCCAACAGATTTTTATTTTATTTATTCTAATTATTTTATTATTCTAATATTTTTGTTATTATTATTTTTAATTTAAAAAATAATTTCTCTATTTATACCTTATATATGTTTAATTTTTTTAAATGTTTATGTTGTTATTACTTTATTCTGACCCATTATCATGAGTTTATACTAAATTACCAAAAAAAAACCTCAGCAAGCTGCCCCATATCCAGTTACAGCAACAGGAACCAGCTATTTCAAAGGTTGTGTTATGGAGGGAAAAATCAGAAGCTGAGCAGTTTTGGGCTGATCCCCTGATGACCTGAACCCTGTTTAGAAGAAGAGAAGATCTTCCCACAGTCTCATTCCTGTGATTTTTTCCTCTGACCTGTTTTTTTTGGCCACAGAAAACAAGCCCCAGTCTGGTTTTTAAACCTTGCTTCAGAAATGTGTGTGCACATGCAAAGGGAAAACTTGACTTAGAACTTCTTTTTTTTAATTCATAACTGAATAAATTAATTACAAAATGTGTTAAGATTAAGGACTTAATTAATTGCCCATTCATAGATTGTTTTCAAAATGTAAAAGCAGAGGAAAAATAAATATAATAGTCCACTATCTTATTGCCCTTGTGCTGGTGAAGGAACTTTTTGACCCTGGTGAAGCAGAGAAATAAAAGATTTGGGCTCTTTCTTTCCCAGGCTCAGACTTACAAGACTGAAGTTGTGCTGCTCACATAAACTGCATAAAACTTAATGAACTGTCTTGGCTTTTAGCACCAGTGCTGGGGGAACTTGGACAGTGGGATAAATGTTGCTGCTGTTGGGTAAAGAAATGTAGGTTTACACTTTGATTTCTGTGGCAAGCCCCAACTTGAAATTGTGTTGACATGAGCAGGTTTTAGGGGATTGAATGGAACTTTTATAACTGAAACCAATATTTATTTCTAACTGCAGACTAAGTATTTTTAGGTTGAATTTCTTTGTGATGCCAGGTGACTGTCACAGCAGAATAAGTAGCTCCAGCATCAACAACTATTTTAATAGTAAAGTAGAAGTCTGACTAAATATTTTGGGTTTCAAATGCATGATATAAACACAGTCTTTTGTAGAAGTCCCCAAAATGCACATTTAAACCCAGAATTTTTCAAAAGCACAGGCTTGAGACTAGTACATACACCCCAAAATACATCACTGTTATATTTTAGAAGTTCCACTGATTATCCACTGTGAACACCCTGCCAGCTGCTTCTCTTCTGCCCTGTTCAACCTTACTGGGATCAAGACATTTTATATCAGAGTTTGGATATTGTAGGAGACCAAAGCCCAAAAAACTTGCTCTGTTTCTGCAATAATGGGGCTACAACATGCTGCAAGTTTTAAATGAGAAACTAATGGAAAAGGAATTTTAGATGCTTCTCATGAGACTGTGCTGTTGTTCTGGATGGAATAAGCTGGATGGAAATGCCAGCATTAATTTCTTATTAAATTAATAAGTCACAGTTTGGTGATGTCACAACTGGTTGCAGATCTCTGGTTTGTACTCACTACACTTTTTTTTTTTTCCTTCCTTTCAGTCAGCTTTACAAGAACTTGAAGAATTGAAGCAGATTGTTCCCAAAGAGTCTCTTGTTTACTTTTTAATAGGAAAGGTAGGTAAAACCTCACTGTGATCACAAGTTCTTTGGTTTCCTTTGCTGCTTAATGAGAAAATGGGATGCCTGTCACTAAGCTGCTTCCACTTGGAGCAGTATTCTAAAAATTCCCAAAGCTTTAAATAAGGCTTAGTGCTCACAGGTTTATTATGGATCAGCTTTTAAATGCAGAGGACAGTTAAAGAGAGCTGGAGGCTGTTCTGGGATAAAACAAACCAAGAGAAAAATCACCCAGGCCAGTGTTACTTTTTGCCTGCTTTGATTTCACCACTGTCAACTGAAAAGATAATTAATTTTAAAAAGCTTTCCTGGAATGGCCTGGGTTGGAAGGGACTCTAAAGATCACCCAGTGCCACCCCCTGCCATGGGCAGGGACACCTTCCACCAGCCCAGGTTGCTCCAAGCCCCGTCCAACCTGGCCTTGGACACCTCCAGGGATCCAGGGGCAGCCACAGCTTCTCTGGGAAACCTGTGCCAGGGCCTGCCCACCCTCCCAGGGAAGGATTCCTTCCCAAAATCCCATCTAACCCTGCCCTCTGGCAGTTTGAAGCCATTCCCCCTTGTCCTGTCACTCCAGGCCCTTGGAAACAGTCTCTCTCTGTGTTTCTTGTAGCCCCTTTGGGCACTGGAAGGATATAAAATACATATAAACTGATCTCTAAATTGGTCCTGATAAAGATCCTTCACTGAAAAGGGACACATGGCTGTGTCATCACCACTGCATCTGTCCTGGAAGTGGAATTCTGTCCAGACTTGGTTTTTAGAACATCAGTGATGTTAGCAGTGCAAATCCTGAACATTTGGAGGGGTAGCCCATCCACCAGCAGAGCTGGTTATTTGCAGGTGTACCTATTAAATATTGAATCACATTCCAGTGCATTGTGTCAGAAATCCTGAATAAGAAGTAATTTCATTTTTTTTCTGTGTGAAATGCCAGAGGAGTGACGTGGTGACAGAAATCCTCCTTTCCCACCCCCTCCTCTGCTGTGGAGCTTTAAACACCTCCTGCAGCTTTCTGTACTTGGAACCAACCAGCCAAACCTCTGGCACAGTCCTGGAGAACTCTCAATCAGCAAGATTCCTTTATTTTTTTAGAGTAGAGAGAGATTAAAAGGGTTTGGGCTGAAATGTGTTGACTGGTGTTTGTCCAGGAGTAGCTGGACCCCTAAACTGACATTAGACTTGCCATGTCTTGATGAATTTAAATACTTTCACTGTTTAAATGTTTAACACAGATAAATTATTTGCTCATCCGCCCTTAATGTTAAAGAATCAGTGAACTGCTGGTTTAATTTAATTTTTGGATGGAAATGCTCTTTCTACACATACTTATTATTTCCTTTGGGACTCATATAATAACTTTTTCATCCCTCCCCTCTCTTGTTTTTCATAAAACACCAGGTCACTGTGGCTTGGTACATTTGTTGCCCAAACCTTCAAGCAGCAGCTTTGTGTAAATGGAGCCTTTTCTGCTTTTTTTTCTTTTTTAATCGATTTTCAGGTTTATAAAAAACTGGGTCAAACCCATTTGGCCCTAATGAACTTCTCCTGGGCCATGGACTTGGATCCCAAAGGAGCCAACAACCAGATCAAAGAGGCCATTGATAAACGTTACCTTCCTGATGATGAGGAGCCAATAACTCGAGAGGAGCAAATCAGTGAATGTTACCCCTATGAATCAGGTTTGTATTCCCAAGCCCTGGTCATTTAAGGAGGTTTTTTCCACTCAGTTGTAGGAAGAAACCCAGGTTTAATAAGTGAAACGTTCTGCTCAGCAAATAAGAACTCCAGAGGCTCTTCCTTCAGCAGGATCCCTTCATTTTTCCTACTCTGGGACGTTTCTTTAGGTGTATTAGGACAGAGATTGTGATAACTGTAAATTCCTACAAATCATGGGGGCTGTAATATCATCCCAGGAGAGCAAGACCTTCCCAGGGCTGCAAATATTCCACCATAAAGCAGCAAATCATTTCGAAGTAACTGAATGGCAACTGAAATTTGTCTGTAGGGGCTTTGTCAGGAGTTTAAAATGGATGTTGGGTGAAAATGCTTGGTGTGCTAAACATAAAAGGTGGCTTTTGATGGAAGCAGTTTGGCTTGAATGAAGAGAAAATAAAAACACTTTGGGGAATAATCCACAAAAAGGAATAGCCCAGGTTTGTCTTCTCTCAGCTTTTGATTATGAGCTTAAATTGCTTTGACAGTCATAAGTGTTGACCTCTTTGCAGACTGAAGTAGAGATAGAAAATAAATGCTGATAAGCAATTTAATTCTTTTCCTGAAAAGAGGAAAATATAGCAGGGTTGGGATTCTTTATTAATAAACATATTGTCCTGCAATTCCAGATCCTCAGCTGAAAAAGTAGGAAAAGGTGACAGTTGTCTATCAGATTGATTTTTATTGATCCTGTGTGCTTTTTGATATGGGAAACTTACCCTGCACTGCTCTTCTGAAGTATCCATCTTTTTTTTTCCTGCTGTTGGAATTGGGTTAATTTAAAGCCCCAGCTCACTGGGGCTGAGCATGTTCTGACCAGGAGATGGAGACAGAGACTGGAACTGCTGAGCAGCACCAAAAAAAACCCCCAAAACCAAACCAACACCAAAAAAAAACCCGAGCAAAAAAACCAACAGCTTAATTTGTCCAGTAAATGTAAACAAAATCAAAGTGTTGGGCTGTGTGCCACAGTCCAGCCTCCCTGACTGTGCAGAGAGACTGTCCCAGAGTTCCACAGCCTCAGCTGAACGACTCTCTCGGGATACATGAGACAAACTGAAGTAATTTAAGGTAGTTCTGGGCAAAGGGGGAAATTGTTTGGAATATTTTGGGTAGTTTAAGGCATTTTGGGCATTAAATTGCCCCCTGGGGGACTGACTGTGTCTGTTGTGCAGAAAGCTGGAGTGTTTTCTTTAAAGCAGTAAAGTGCCTCTGTGTTTCTCCAGATGAAACAATTGAGTATTTGGGAATTTACAGTTAATTTCCTCGATTGTGCTCTGGAGAGCAGAGTCCAGTCACGTTCCTGGGGGGGAAGAACAACCCATCATTAGATATTTGCCTCTGTTCTGACCTTAACAGGCATAGGAGTTAAGTATTCAAGGGTGGCCTTAGGTACTTGTGCCATGTTCTGTGTCAGGGGAGCAGGGAGAGCTGCCCAGCCCTCCTGAGGGAATTTGGGGATCCTCCATGGATCCCTCCCTGAGCAGTGCTGGAGGTTGCAGGCATTTAACAGAATGGGGCCAAGCAGTGGGGTTTGTTAACGTGCTTTGTGCTTTATTGGTGTGTACTTTGTGTGAATTCCTTTGGAAATTCATTTAGGGTCAAGGAGCAATGGGTTCAAAGTGAAAGAAGGGAGATTTGGGTGAGATACTGGGAAGAAATCCTTTCCTAGGAGTAGGGGAGACCCTGGCACAGGGTGCCCAGAGAAGCTGTAGTTGCCCCTGGAACCCTGGAAGTGTCCAAGGCCAGGTTGGCCGGGGCTTGGAGCAACCTGGGCTGGTGGAAGGTGTCCCTGCCCATGGCAGGGGAGGGACTGAGATGAGCTTTGAGGTCCCTCCCACCCATTCTGGGTGTCTGTGATTTCTTTAGACCCCTTCAAGCTGTCAGGGCTCAGCTTTTGAAGGAAAACGGGAGAAGCCACATGGCTTTAAAACACTCGGAGGGGGGAAGCCCAAACCTGTTGCTTTTGAGGTGCTGGAGTGGGTTGTGGGGGGATTTTTGGGGGAACCAGCCCCGTGGGGTCTGAGCCTCCGTGTTCCTCTCTCTGCAGTTGGCACGGACGAGTCCCAGGAGAGCAGCATGACGGACGCGGACGACACTCAGCTCCACGCGGTGGAAAGCGATGAATTTTAACCTCCAAGAGCCACTGTCTGAGCTTGAGTGTGTGTGACTGGTACTGTCGTGTCCTCCCCTTCCTTCGCATCCTGGGTCTTCACCTCTCTGAGCCAGCACTGTCGTCGACCTCCACTGACACCACGAGTGCACCTCAGCCCCGACCTGTCCCAGGGTCCGTGGCAGTGCAATATCCAGCTGCTGCTGAGTCTCACTAGTTGGCTCTTACACATTTATCCAAGTGACTGAGGAAGAAATGCTGGTTTTGGACTCCCCTTTGCTGGAAAAAAATATCATGGAAGACAGACTTGTGGTTTGCTGTATGGAAGGCAGTAGATGTGGGGATAGTACTAATGACGAGGTGTCTTGTTCTTTTTCCAGAAATGTGTCTTAGTTTGGGTCTTTCTTGGTAAGCAGAGTGCTGAACCTCATTTCCAAGTTCTCCAAGGACAGTGGTGACAAACAGGACTTTTGCATATTGTAGTGTTTAACTTAAATGCCAGGGAGTGTCCATGACCTTAAAGCTGCAGTGTCTCCAGTGAGCAAACACAGGACTGGGAGCGTGTCCCACCACGGAAAACACCCCGTGGCCCTGCTTAGAGTGCAAACTGCAGGAGAATCACATGGCAGGATCAAAGCTTTCATCAAATGCTTTCATGTTCTAACCATGAATTAATTTATTCACCCGGTTTGGGAAAGGTCAGTGTTTACTTTGTACTTGAGTCAGCACCACCTCGCTTCGTTTTTCGTACACCCCTTGACTTGTTCTTCCCCTCTTGAGAATAAAAATTAATAAAGGGCAAAATCAAGAGACAAATGAGATACAAGTGTAATGTGACAACATCAAACCCTTAATCCTGAGAGACTGGGAAGACTGTGGAAGCCTTAATACAATCAGAACCCTGGTCCAACACCTCCAATAACTGTCTCGGGTTAGTATCTCATTAGACCTGTGATCACTTTTAAAACTCTTTTGTAAAGGGTGGTCCAAGCAGGATGCAAAAATGTGCAATTATCAGACTTTTTCCTTATTTTTTTTTTAAGCTGTTCTTTCAGTTTCTCACTCCAGGAACACTTTCCTTTTCTCCAGGGGCTGTTTCTTTGAGGAGGAAGCTGCACCACGTTAGCAAGTCCAAACTGCTCTCTGTAGCCTCCTGCAGCAGCAATTGGTGCCCTTTGTGCAGTGATGACAAAGAAAGTGTATGATATAAGCAGTTTTAAAGAGCAATTTATGCCTAATAAATTGGGAATGATACAAATTTCATAGCAATGTATTTGTTGTGATCAGTCTTAATTTTTTTTTTAAGATCCATTAGTTTTTAGGGGTCTCTTAGTTACCTTTACACTTCAATTTCTTTTAAATTATCCTTGTACACAAGGGACATCTTCTGTCCCAGCTCCTCTCTGCTCAGAAGCCACATGGACACCTTTATCCTTTGAAAAATCATTCCCAGGTTCAGAGCAAAAAAATAGAAATTCTCTGGTTCGTTGGTGTTTTTTGAGGTAGGAGGATGAGCAGGGGAAAACAGGCTTCGACTCCCCTCCCAGTGTGAAAAGGAATCTCCAAAGTCTGAGGAGCAATAAGACACTGGAGGAGGTTTGTGCCTCTGCCACATCCCTGTGCTGGGCTGGAGCTGGAAGGTCGATGGATTGACTGGAAAATCATTTGGGCTGGATTGAGAGTTCCAGCTCTCACCCCCCTTCCTGTGGCTGCAGCTGTCGGGGGTGATTCCCCTTCCTGCAGAGTCTTCCCCGAGGAAGGCTCCGGGCTCAGGGTTCCTGAGGGGCACCTGTGGCACAGCTCTGAGTTCCCCGTGTCTCTCCTGGGGTGGTTTTCCCACCCAGCTTCCCAGCACACCCCTGGCATGGAGGAGTCCCAGCAGCACCTCACAGTAAGGTCTGGAGGCAGCACTTGTGGAATGCCACTAATTAATGTGTTAATTGGCTTCCTTTTGGTTCTCAGCAGGTTTTTCCAAAGCAGGAGGAAGCAGGTGCTATTCCCTTGTCCATAACCAATGGTGGTGTTTAGGTGGGGACCAGAGATCGGGAATCTAAATGGCTTTTTCCCTTCTGTTCCCTGAAAAAATGAAGTGAAACTTCCAACCCTCTGGAAAAAGCTCTTAATTCAGCTGGGATCTGACGAGGATATTCACGTTACCTGCAAGATTTAATACATAAAACCATCCCTGGCTTTCCATCTACATCATACCTGGAAGGGATTTTCCTTTTTTCCCCAAGAATCCCGAGTCACATTTAGCCCTTGCTGCTATTTTACCTTCTAAGGAGAAACACAAGATTATTATTGAATGACTAAACTTTGGCTCTTTGAGGAGGGACAGGGAGGAAGAGTCCGAGCATGGAGGCACTGGCAGCCAGGTGAGAGCAAGTGTCCACTGAAAAGAATTAGGGAACTGTCATTTTCTTACAACAAAACTATGGGAAAAAAAATGCAAAGTGTGGGTGTGGTGTTACTATTTGCATTGAAACAATGTAATTTGTCCTTTTTTTTTTTTTTTTTTTTTTTTTTTTTTT